TGTGTGTGTGTGTGTGTGTGTGTGTGTGTGTGTGTGTGTGTGTGTGTTGTGTTGCGTTGCGTTGCGTTGCGTTGCGTTGCTTCCTCTCTGCAGACCGACTCTCACCATGACCCAGAGGAACCTGACCGGAGGTTGCAATGTGAACTGCGGCTGTAAAATCCACGAGTACGCTCCGGTCTGCGGCTCCGATGGCATCACTTACTTTAACCCCTGCCTGGCCGGCTGCAGCAGCGTGGGCAACGACAGCACCGGGGTGAGAGGATAATGATATCTACCATTCCACTGCTGACACTCTTAAAAAGCTATAAAGAACATCAAGCTTTTACACATTCAATGTTTCAAGAACTGTGAGAAAGCAGAGGCAAAAAAGTTAGATGTTCTTTAAGATCGCGTGACTCCGTCCGTCGTCTCGATGACGATCTTTAACTCCGCCCCCTCCAGATCCGCAACTACTCGGACTGCGCCTGCGTCCAGAGCCGCCAGATCATCACGCCGGCGTCGTCCGGCGGTCAGGGCGGCAACCAGCTGCAGCTCGTCATCGTCAAGACCTACCTGAACGAGAACGGCTACGCCGTGTCGGGGAAGTGCAACCGCACCTGCAGCACCCTCATCCCCTTCCTCATCTTCCTCTTCATCGTCACGCTCATCACCGCCTGCGCCCAGCCCTCCGCCATCATCGTCACGCTCAGGTATTCAAAGTGTTATCTCAGTTCGGTTCGTCCTCCGTTACTGTGAGGTTCCTCGGTCTTCACCTTTCTGTGTGGTGTTTGTGTGTTGCAGGTCTGTAGCGGAGCAGGAGAGGCCGTTCGCTCTGGGAATGCAGTTTGTCCTCCTCAGGACTCTCGGTGAGCAGAAAAACTACTTTTTTCAATCTTTTTAGTTGAGCGTCAGCTAAACGCACTGATTGTAAACGCACTGCACATCCTGGAACTGCTGACCGCGAGCTGATGAAGCGCCAGGAAGTTCAGATGTTGTGCTAAATTTAATGCCTCGTCATCACCGTTCTCCTGAAGGAGGAGTGAGATACATGAGATGTTCAGGAAGCTGCTGCCACTTTGAATCAGTCAGAACTGGAGTGTTTGACCATTTTGATCTGTTTCTCCAACAGTCTAACATCTTAACTGAAGTGTGACGCTCAGTAAGTGGAGTGAAATAAAGAGGATTTAGATTTAGATTGGTCCTCGATCACTTCTGTGCTCATGAGTTTTCTTTCCTCTCCTCTTCCTCACCTTCTCCTATCACCCTCTTCTTTGCGTATTCTCTTTTCTTGACTTTCCTCTTTATCCTCACTCTTCTCTCCTCTTCCTCTGTCACTTCGTCTCCCCCCCCTCTTCTCCACTCAGCCTACATCCCGACGCCCATATACTTCGGCGCCGTCATCGACACCACCTGCATGCTGTGGCAGCAGGACTGCGGTGTCCACGGCTCCTGCTGGGAGTACGACGTCACCTCGCTGCGCTTCGTCTACTTCGGCCTCGCCGCCAGCCTCAAGTTCTTCGGCTTCCTCTTCATCTTCCTCACCTGGTACTCCATCAAGTACAAGGAGGAGCGGGTGGAGCGCTGGCTCAAGCGCCACATGTCGCCCGTCGACACCGTGGGCAGCCTCGTGTGCCACCCGGGCGGCCACAAGGGCCACGCCCGCACCCGCTCGTGCCCCGTCAACATCCCCCGGACCGACCCCAGCGCCCTACTGCCCGCCAACGCGCCGCCGCGCGCCGGCCCCCTCAACCGCGGTGTCAGCACCCAGAGTTGCCCCGGCAATGAGCTTAAAGCAATGACTCCTCCCCCTGCGGCCGCGGTGGCGCCGCCCGCACCGGCCCGCTCGCTGGAACACGTTTCAGTCAGAGTCTGAGTTTCAGAACGGGGGGGGCGATGATGCCGGTCTCACCCTCTGACATTTATTCTGAAATCGTCCCGTGGAGGTCCTGCTCTCATCTCATCCTAAGTTTAGTCTACATCCAACTGCCTCTGTGGCTTACACAAACCCTCATTGACTCCTTCAGAACCTCCAGGTCTGCGGTCGAATGATGGAGAGTCTGACTCCTTTAGGACCCAACCAGCTCGGAGTTCCTCCTCTGACACCAAAACATCTGCTAGGTTGGTGAAAGTGTTGAAAGCGACCGGGTTTGTTTTCTTTCCTGACCTCGGCAATATGTGCCTTCTGTCACCACGGTCCTCACATGTACAGTATACCTGCAAACACACTGGACGTCCAGACAGACTGTGCCCCCCCCCCTGTAAGAATAACAGTCACCTGAACAGATACCCCCCCCCCTCCACTTTACACCTGTGTTCCTTCTTTATTTGTTTTTTTTATGTACTTCACCAACATGCAAGTGATTTTTTTTCTTTTGTTTTTCCGGACACTGCATATCACAGCGCTCTCACGGAACAAAACAAAAACACAAAAAAACAAGAGAACCCTCGCAAGAGAACCCTGTGGAAATGTGATACACTGCAACTAAGTGTTAAGAACTGGAAACCGATGGCATGGTGCTATGTGAACTAGTCGTGTACTAGTTAGTGTCCATCTTTTCTTTCTTTTGGCTCATGATCTTCGGGTTAAACAGGCTTCAGAAGAACCGACCTGACAGCCGGTCACCGGGCGGAGCAGCTTGGCGTGCACAGAACGCATTCCTGTCCGACTGCAAAAGGCCTTTTTGTTTGCTCCCCCGACACAATGACGCGTAGTATTACCGCTGGAAGTCGGGATTGTTTGGCTTTTGCCGGCTCCACACAAAGCGTCCATACATCCGCGCTGCGTCCCTCCTGACTAAGCACCGTGATAAGTGGTTTAACCTGAAAAGAACAGGATCGGCTTTTTTGTATTTCATTTTTTCTCTCCCAACCCGCTGACCACATTTCCCCGGCTGGACGAGTCGCCGAGGATCCGTTCACTCGCCTGGAAGAAATACGGTTAAGATGCTCGGAGACGTTTTTTGGCATTCTTTGACTCTCTGTGTTTGTGACTCTTCACCGGGAGATGAGAGACTCAACCGTTCATTTAGTCGACCGTCGTCTTCTATTCTTCGTCAGCTCGTTGGTATTTTGGGATGGATCCTGAGTGGGAAATTTGCTAAACAATTAACCAGTAGCCCCAGTGACTTATGGGTAACGACTGAATGGGATTTTTGCGGTTCTCTTCGCCACATGTCAGGTTAAAAGTGTGGAACGTAGAACAGAAGACAGAAGAAGCTCTAATGTTCACTGTCGAGCTGCAGCTAGTGATCGTTTCCTTTATCTATAAATCAGCTGATTATTCTTTAAAGTATAATATTTCTTTGATCTAAAGAGAAACGGTGAATAAAATGTCCATCACGTTTATTCACGTTTGAGAAGCTGTGACTTTTAGATGTTTAGCGTCTCGATCGATTATCAGAAGTGTTAAATTAACTTTGAGTGTTCTTCAGTTGACTGATCGCTAATGGTGTTAGCACTAGATCGCTCCCCAGTGCAGGCCCAGCAGCTGAGGTAGTTCATTTCAACAATCACTTATTACAACGTAGAGAAAAACTAAAAAAGACTAAAAATCTGCCAGAAATTATGTTGCAACTTGTTTTAAAATACAAATGAATAATTTTGCCTCCAGCTTGATTGCGTAGCTGTTCTGGAGCTTTCGATCACATCACATGATCTTCATCAGCAGGTGGAGTTGTTGTGGATCTGTAGGATCAGCACCTTTTTGGGACTTTTCGTCCATCTTTGTTTGAAAACAGCAACTTAAAAAAACAATCCCGTAA